TACCCTTACCTAGGATCAGCTGCTAATCCTAGCTGGACTGGAGGCGGGAGAGGACAGGACTTTCTCTTCCCTTGTAAAGAATGGCTAGGGCTGTAGAAGACCCACTCCCAGAAACCTCCTCCAGATGCATTAACATCAATATCCTCCCCTGCTTCCTGCCCCCATCACTCCTTAGCTGTACAAGGGGAGGCAGGATGTCACTGTATAGGAACTAAGGATGTTAAACAGCGAATAATTGACTAATCGAATAGTCGATGTATTTTGCATCGACTATTCAAGTAGTCAATAGGGCCATTCCATCTCTGAAGGGTAGCAACAGCCATCTTTGAAGGGTAGGTCTGTTGCTACACTTCAAAGGTGAATTGCCACCTGGAGCCCAGAATCAGCTGGGTACTCCAGCTGATCCAAGGCTCCACACAGCGCTGCTGCTTTGAAATGCTGAATGCAGCCTGACACCGATCTCCCCATAGAGTGCTTTCAAAGTGGCAGCACCGCACGGAGTCTGGGATCAGCTGGGGACGTCAGCCATACCCAAACCTTGGCCTCACCCCCTGCTCCAAAGCTCCCTGCCTCTGGACCCTCCACCCAGTGTTCCCCACAATCTATATGCTTGTGAGACCACTCAGGAGGCAACAGCTAGGTTGCTTCTTCTGATGGTGCACATTCATACACGCCTCAGTGCACATAAAATTATGTTTCCAGCCATGTACGGAATAATATTAGAAAGAACAATGCCATACCCCTGCAACCAAACCAACCCCCACTGAGCTACCTGCACTGAAACCCCCATTCTGATGAGCTCTACTCCCTGCATTATCCTGAGCCCCCACATCCAGATACCCTTGCCACTTATCTCCAACTAGCTGCACCCAGAATCCCTCTGACAAGTCCCACTCTCAGCATCCAGGTCCCCCACTGAGACCCCCAACCATTTTTGCCTACAAGCTCCTCACAATCCCAATGCTTCAGTGCATGAAATCCCCTTTTCCCCAACAAGCCTCTGTGCATCCAGATCCCCCCTACAATAAGACTCCTCCCAATGAGCTGATTGCATCCAGATTGTCCCAAAAGAACCCCCTCACGCCACACCTGGATCTCCAGCATGGAGATCCTTCTAGGGCTATAAGTGACTACTTAACTATTCAATAAGAATATGCTTATCAGATAGTCAACTAGTGACTCAAGTAGTCACTCCCCTCTGCGCTGCCTCTATTAGAGGGAGGCAGCAAGTGGGGTGTGTGGGCAGGAGCCAGCTTAAAAGCCGGTTCCCCCCAGCACCATCTCCACGAGGGGGTAGGGGAAGGTGGGTAGCAGGGAACTGGCGGCGCCTCTGCCTTTGAAATGTAGGAAGAGCCCCACTCTTGCTACATTTCAACAGCGGAGGAGACCTTATTGAGTAGTTGATGGAAAGTCCATCTACTATTCAATTAGTTGATTAATCTAAATTTAACATCTCTAGATCCTTCACACTTGGACTCTGATTTCAAAATAATGGGTGCGCTATTCTGGCATCCCTGTAACACTCGGTCCATGAGGGTTAAGGGACATTTCGGAACAGCACTTTATTTTGAAATTTGTCACTGTGTAGACAGCACCAAATTTCAAAATAAACTATTGAAATAAGATACGCAATTTGCATAGCTCAAATTGCAGATCTTATTTTGACCTACGGATGTCGTGTAGATGCACCCTCTGTGTCCTGGTGGTGAGAGGGGCGGAGGATCTCTCACCTTCATGCAGCCAGTGTCCCCACTGCCAAACTAAAGACTCTGCATTTATTTATCAAAAAATAAAACTTGCAGCATTTTAAAATATTGTGTGTAGAAATGCAGACCCAAATTACAGCTTGAAAGGCTGTGTTGGCAGGCTTTCAGTGAAATGCCACAGGATGCAGTGTCAAGTTTTCCTACAGTGCACTACAAACAAAAAGTCTAGAAAGGCTCCAGCTAAGAGCAGTAGAAAGCCCAAGATAGATTTGGCTCAGGACTGTGTAAAGCAATAATGCACATATTAGCAGGATGAGAGACCCAGATCTAGAAATTCCAAATGTAAAGAATCAACATGCAGTGTGAACATTGAAGCCTGATCATAGAAACGCTGAGCCTGGGCATTTGATTTGCACAGATTCTGGTTCACACTGCAATTTATGCCCATCCTAAATGGCTTGCCTAAGGAAGAACACACACAGTCTGTGGTGGAACAGAGAACTGTACCTGGATCTCTCAAGTACCAGTAGTAGACCACATCCTAACTACTGTGCTATCCTTCCTCCTTGCTGCCTGGCCCAAATCTTATGGCCAAATGTACAGCATTTAGATGAATTTCAGATACAGTTTGACCCAAGTAAAGATTACATGTCATGGTAAACTTTAAGGACAAAGATTAATGGGGGGGGGGGGGAGGAAACAAACTTTCCCCTCCACAGACAAAGAAAGAAAAAAATTAAATAATTTCTAAGCACTCCTTAGAACTTAAGGCACCTAGAACTTAAGGCACCACAATGTTTGCACTGTACTGTTTTATATTTACAGTGACCCCAAACATGAGCGTAAGAGTATTTAAATGAAACATGGTACAACAGTAACTTCATAATGTTATTTTGTTACACTGAAAAAAAAAATATGCCACTTCTCTGAGCACTGAAATTCTTGGTATCCTTGTGCCTGCTATATTAATTGAGGTCATGCAGGGCAGACCATCTCACAAAAAATATCCAGTGCTCTTCCTATCTGTCAACTTTAATTTTTCTTCTGTACTGTAAGTCATTACAGCAAATTAGGACGGTGTATTTTTCTACTAATTCTTTCCACAAATGTCCTTATTACACTGATACATTATATACCCAGCATGTGGATTTTCGTGGCAATAGAAATCACTTAATAGCGGTAACAGTGATACCATGTTGCAATCAGCCCTGACTCCAGGGATTTTACTATTACACAAAATCCGAAGTATTCATTTTAAACTTTATAACCCTATATAGTTTGGGTCCAACTACTTGAGTAATGCCTCCCTCACAATGTATTATCATGGATTTGTTTCAAGATATGAGTAAAATGGTGGTAATCTCCCAGATTCAACTTCCTATTACAAGGTATCATTCCAAAGTGGATTGCAAATACATAATACACTCGGTCTTCTTTATTGCATGCTTTGATCATCAATAGAGCATTACCAATGTTTTGATTCAAATTACCATCAGTGTACAGGAGAGTCAACATTTCATAGAAATAAAGAAGAGCAGTTCAAGTTGCTCAGAACAACTGTTGTAGTCAAGGGGTCAACAACCTTTCCGAAGTGGCGTGCCAAGATTTAACCCTCCTGCCCTGGGCTGTGCCACTCTCTCAGGGGAAGGGAGCCCTCTCTCTACTGTGTGCTCCGTGGACCACCTGGGTCAATGTAAACATTTACACAGACTACCAGTTGCTATTGCAGGGGTGGCCAACTCATTTAACAAAGACAGTCAAAGGAGCGGCAGAAAAAATGCGAAGAGCCGCACCACAATTGTCAAGCACAAAAAAAGCCCTCCAGAACAAAATTGTCAAGCAAAAACAAAAAAATTAATTTTTCAAAAAAGAGGCTGCCCCTTTAAGATGGCTGCCATCCTGGACGCTATTTTCAAAACCCCACAGCTCTGACCGAATAAGCACAGGGAAGCCGAGGGGTAACCTGCGGGGAACGTTTTGGGGGGTAAGGGAGGGCACGCAGGAGCAGCTTTGAGAGCCGCACTTTTGGAGGGCAAGAGCTGCCACAAGTCACGGGTTGACCATGGCTGTGCTAATGGAAACTCATTACGTAATTACATCTGAGACATTTTGCTAGTGTTGCAGCTGAGGAGAATGGTTTAATTTAATATGAGAAAGTTAAAATATTTAATCTCTTTAATAATTTAGTTTATTTAAAATGAAATTTAATAAAGTGAAATATTATGTACAACACAAAAGGTTTCAATGTTTTCTTTATTTATGGCAAGGATGAGGAACCTTTTTTGGGTCACGGGTCACTAACTCACAGAAAAATCAGTTGAGGACCACACAAGTGAAAAGCAAAAAAAACTCCTCCAAAAACCCCTAATCCTCACTCATGTGGCCCCCAAAGGAGACACCTCACACTCTTCTGGCACTCCAGCCCTTACAGAGAAAAGGGAAGAGATAGAGAGGACTGAAGTTCAGGGCTTCCCATAGACCAGATTTACTTTTCTGGGGTTTCAGAGTTAGTGGATTTTGTGGACCTCCTTATCCTCTGGGGTGGGAACACAAAAGAGGGGTTCAATGTGCGGGACAGAGCTGCCAGCGAGTGGGATAGGGATGTAGGGTCTGGGCAGTAGGTGGAGTGCAGGATAAGATGAGAAGGGCAGAGTCTGGAAGGGAGTTTGGTGGCAGGAGATTGTGTGGGGTGGGGGTATGAGAGGTAATTTGGAGGCCAGACTCTTTCAATTTATTATATTGCAAAGATTTTTACAAAAATATATGAGTAATTAAGACTGCCTATAAGAATTTAGATTATAACAAAGGATAGTAGACATAACAGAAAAGTACCAGTTCACAAGTCACCACAAGCCCATGTAAACCAACCCCAATTGAAATAAGCTGAAATGCTCAGCATTTGGTGGTAGCCTGTTTTCAACAAAACCTCTCTATCTTTTAACTCCACTAGCTGTTTTTCCTTTGAACATTCTCAGCTACGCCTTAAAAAACCCCAACATTATAGAAACAAGTCTGTTTTAAAGAAGTTGTTAGAAGTGTAAAACAAACTTTCTGTCCTTACTGATTTTTACCTTCATATAGGCACTGATGTGGTATTGCAGGGTTGCTCAAGAATACAGCATTATTAGGATCTACTTATGCTAAGAAAAATATGTTTTTTAGCTCTATAGAATTACTAACATTTTAAATAAGTTTCTAAAACATTCCTTGACTTAATTGTAACTTACTTCTAAGCTTTTTGTAATTGTTACACAGATTTCTAAAACAGAAAATTACCATGAGATAAGCAATTACCTGCCGCTTCTCTTAAGTGCAAACAAGATTCCTTTCTTCTGAAAAGGAAGCAGTCTCTCTCTCAGTTTTTCAGGTAGGAAGGATAATTTAGTATCAGCATCTTCTGAACAAGACGTTTCAACTGCAGAAGTTTCTTGGATTGCGTTTGACATGTTGAACTTGTAAGAAACAAACAAGAGGCTAGGAATTAGGTACTGAATAGTTTAATTCAATACAGGCTATAGCTATACATAGCAATAAGAAATAGTATTAACATGTGTCTTCTTGTGCTCCTGTGTCAGGGCATGAAGGAGAGTTACAGCCATCCCCACCTTTACTTCTCTTGCAATTCAAAGCCGATGATAACAGAGGATTCTGAAAAGTGGAGATGGAGCAGTTCATGGACAGTTCATGGAATCCACATACAATATCTCAAAAGAACCACAGTTATCATAGGGCAAGTAATGACTCTCTTACAGCATGTGTCAATGTTGATACCACTGCTGATGGCAGAAAAGTAGTATCCCTCCAAAACAATATGCGGAATCTCAGTTACATCAGTCCAAGAGATGTTGCAGTACACCTCTCTCAAATTGGCACCTGATCGGGTGGATGAGCCCAAAGCATAGTATTTGAAAAACATCAGAGAGTTACTCCATGTTGCCATCCTGTAGACTTTGGAAAGACAGATGATGTTGCTTGTGTTCTTATTTGCAGTAATGTTCAGTAGGACAGGCACATTAGTAAACAGTAACAAAGTGCTATCTATTTCAGTAGCTTCTAAGACAGGAAGGCCTGACATTAGGACTGACCAATCACATCAAGAACAACTCAGGAAACAGGGTGAATAATTTTATTCTGTCAACATAATAAAAATCAAGAACATCTAGAGCAGTGGTGGGTGGCCTGAGGGCTGTATGTGGCCCATTTGGATTCTGTGTGTGGCCCACCACTGCCCACACACAGGGTTGCCAGATTCTACTGATTTTCATCGGAGTAGTTTTTTCCCCCACCAGTATTTCTAAAACAGGGTTCACCAACCAGTAGATTGGGATTTACTGGTAGATCTTGGAGCCTCTGACAGGTGATCCTGATAGGTTTGGCTGGGAGGCTATCAAGTGCCTGTACTTCAGCTGCCCCTCCCCACACTGCCTTGCTTCTCCTGCCCAGAGCCAACCCCTGGGAGCCTCCTGCTTGTTGTGCAGGGTGGGGGACACAGAGCCTGGGGCTGCTGATGTCACTCTGCCCCCCTCCCCTGTACATCATCCTCTCAGAATGAGGTGGGCAGGGCTTCGGCGAAGGGGTGGGGGAGGTGCTGCAAGCATAGTTAGCACAACTACCCTATCCTAGGTGACCATCTTGGTTATGACAATCTTGCGGCCCACTTGAGATGAAAGAAGGCCAATCATGTGGCCCACTCACTAAGTTGCCCCAACTGACCTAGATGGCCAAATAGCTTCTCTCTTGGTAGAGTGTGTGGTTTGGAAAGATGACAAGATAGATTGATTCAGAAATCACACGGGAGATGAATTTCAGGTCAGGATTCCATACCATCTTATCTTTACAAAATGTTGCATGCATGGCTGCAGCCACAAACACCAATACTCACTTTTCACCTAAAATGATAGCAACCAGGAAAATGGGTTCCAAAAAAGATGTAAGGAACATTTTGAACAAGCTACAAAGGGAAGCTCTGAGAGCCCTTGCAGAATTCAATTGAGGTTCCAGACAAGAAAGAGTCTTTTAAAAAACTAAAAATCCATCAAGTGAAAAAACAAGGAAAAAAACAAATCCTGAAAACAATTGCACCAGGAGGACAACCAAAGATTGCTATGAGGTAAGGATGTTAAAAGGCGGGTATCTGGCTAATTGTGTAGTCAATACAATTTGTATTGACTACACAATTAGTCAATAAGGGAAGGCACTCAGTCCCAGCTCATGCTGGGCCCAGGAGCTATCCCTGCTGTGCTTCTGCATTTTAAAGGTAATAAGTGCTGGCCTTGCTCTTACTACCTTTAAAATGCAGAGCCACAGCATTCCTGGACCTGGTGTGAGTCAAGACTGAGCTGGGCTTGCTCAGTCCTGGCTTCCAATGGGTCCAACAGCCCCTATCTGTAGGAGGTTCCAAGAGGGAGCTGGCCCAGGCTGGCCACAGGATGTGGAGCAGCCTCTGCTCATGGTGGGCTTGGGTGTGCCGCAGTCAGAGGGTGTTTCATGGCAGCCTCTCCTGCTCCCCCCACCCAAGCTGCTGCCTCTGATAGTCAACTGGTCACTTACAACCCTACTTCAGAGTGAATAAACATGCAACACTGCATACTAGACTAATCTGTAGTGCCTATGGACTTTTAAGATGGCTCCCCCAGCACCGGCTCCTGCTTCCCCTATCCCTTGATACAGAGGTAGCATAGGCTTATTGGGTAGTCGACTACTCGCTTACATCCCTAATGTGAGGCAGACCCTGAAATAAAACTGAACAAAAAGCTATCCTGTTTCAAATGCAATTTTTGACAATATTTGTAAATTATATCAGCCCTTGGTCTAGCCACACTGGAGTGCCCATACCAAGAGGTTTTCCCTTCTTGTGGAAGTTTTCCTGATCTTAGTATTTCCTGGACATAGCAGTCTCTATCCATGGTGCTTAACCACTTAACAGCCACAAACAATATCCTATGTCAGAGGTTCTCAAACTTTTTGGGCTCTGGAGCCCTTTACATGCATAAAAATGTATGCGGAGCCCCAGCGTCCCGATTGTATGTGTTGTACCTATCAATGTTTCCAGTGTGTCATCCTCGCAGAGCCCTTGGAGATGTCTCATGGAGCCCTGGAGCTCTGCGAAGCACAGTGAGAAACACTGTCCTATGTAGCGACTTCAAGTCTGGACGCAGTATCTAGCCATGGTGCTGCAAGACCTTTCTGCTCAGAACTGAAAGCTGGATAAGCAGCTGAACGGATGTATAGCAGGTATCACAAAACTGTCATGGCCTGTATGAAGCAATGAGAATGATCATAGCTGTGACTCATTTGATTGTGGAAATCACCATCAGAATCAGGGGATTTGGTCAAAAACTACACAAGAAGCCTGAGGACCACTGCAGAAGTAAAATAAATGGTAGCAACCTGAACTCCTGTATTAGATAGGGCACAGGATCCTCGCACTTGGCATTGGCAAAAAAGTCTATTATCAGATTCCCTCTGTAAAGGAATATCTTCTGTACTATGGACCTCTGCAGCAACCTCTGCAGTTGCCTGCTCAAGTTCCTCAAATTGTTACTGACTTCTTGGAGTAGAACAGGCACAGAATTATCCCATGTCAGAGGCACAATATTCAGTACACAATCTCCAGACAGAGGGCACACTAATACCTCCTTGCTTGTTTATATAGTGCATTCTGGACATGTCCACCAAAATCTGCACTGTGCAGTTTTGGAGAACTATTAGAAAGGTCATGCAGGTTTTAAGAATGATGATATGGAGTTTCATTTCTGCCAGGAAACTAGGTCTTTTCCATTTGTATATAGTTCAAGTGGATTTTATCAAGTGTCTTTGACACATCCAGGATTAAAGTAATTGCTAGAGAAAGGGGCAGGAACAATATCCCACTATCTCTGTTCTGACTAGGGATGTAAGTGACTAGTCGACTATCCAATAAGCAAAAGCTATCAGAGGCAGCAAGGCTAGGAGCAGATTTCAGTGCTGTGGGGAGCTGGCTTAAAAGCCGGTTCCCCCCAGCACCATCTCCGTTGGGAGAAGGGGCAGAGGCGCAGTGGCAAACTGGGAGCGCGTCGTCCGCCTTTGAAATGTAGCACGGGCTCTTGCTCATTTCCAAGGCAGAAGTGCCATGGAGAGCACAGCCAGCGGGGGACTCAAGCAGTTCCCCACTAACCCAGTGCTCCTTGCATTTGAAGGAAAGCACCACCTGCAAATTACATCAACTATTCGATTAGCTGATTAATCTAAATTTAACATCCTTACTCTGAAGCACAAAAATTAACTCAATAGTGAACTGGATTCCCATTGAGGATGGAGGTGAGAATCAGAACTATTATATCTGAGAAACACCTGAATATTCTCCATATCCAGTCAAACTGGAAAGCAGAATAACTGATTGATCTAATAAGCTTTCTTCATCTCTGAATTCTGCAATTAACTCTACTGGAAATGACTTCCAGAAAAGTGTTTTTACACTGATCTTAGGGTGTGGGGGGGGAGGTTTGCCTTATTTTTCAACACCATAGATTAGAGTCAAACTGTTTATAGTTAAAGTGCAGGTTTTGGAGCCCCCCACATTTCCCCATTCTCCACGTACCCAAGTGGGTGGGATGGAGAAGGGAGACAGAGAGAGAGGGGAGTTCAGGGCTTCTGCCCTGCAGCAAAACGGTGAAGCTAGGGACTTCCTTGCAGTAGGAAGTGGGTCTAAGAGCTGCAGCCCTAGCCTTGCTAAAGCCCCAAACACTAGCAGGTACCTCCCACAGGACTGAAGCCCCCAAACCCCTGCCACAGGGCAGAAGCCCTGAATAGGTGTGCCCAGCTCTCAAACTTCTGAATATTACTGTATTTGGCGTGGAGGTCAGTAAAAGTTTGGCACCTCTGCTATAGATGGAATATCATTATGAAGAGAAATGAACAATTCTGATCAAGTTGCTGCCTAACGTCTGCTGTAATAGAAAGCAGTTTGACAAAAATGACAAATGAAATTGCATTTAGTTACACTAGATTCTGCTAAGATTACATTTTTTTGCCCTCACATTTCAATCTTTTGACAAATGGATTTAGTCTGCTTGAATCTTTCAATAGTGGAATTTGATTTAAAAGAAGCTGTCAAGAATAACAGCACTGCCAAAGTAATTGCTTTGGTACTGCATAAGAAGTTAAAATTCATTTTGCACTCGTGACTAGGAAAATTTCCAAAGCAATAAGGCTATCAAATATGTAAACTTATTTACCAGGAAGTTAACAACTGCTTTGCTGCTTAAATGCCTAGTGGTGAATACAAAGGCTACATGCCCACGAGTTAGAGGACAGGACAGGAAAGTGTCCTGGGTTACAGTCCCATCTCTGTTACTGATCTGATAAATTATCATTATGAAGCAAGACACTTCATTTCTCTATACCCTGTGTAAAATTCATATGTGATACCTTCACCAAGCACTTTGAGCTTCTCTTATAAGAGCAGTGTAAT